GTGCGCCCCACTTCATAAAGCATGAACAAAAGCATGTACAAACACATGAACTCACGCATACACAAGGAATCCTTCTGAGCTCAGGAGGACCAGCCACATGCCCTCAGTCAGGAATATCCTCTAAGTAATAATTGAATTGGGGGTCTCATAACACGCATGGAAAGAAGCATGCATTGTGCCCGGATAATCATTAACATCAATAGGAATTCCACAGCTTAACCACATCCTCTGCGGACTAAATAGTATTTCTTGTCTTTGCAGTTTTCACTGACTTGAGAGAAAAGCCTTAAGCAAACAAAAAAGGCACAAGTTTGGCCAGGATCGAACCAGCCCACCATCCTTGTCCCTGTAACAGCTTTCTCAGGCAAAAGGTTAGATATGCATTTGCTCTATTGCCAACAAACCCATGGTAATCTGTCACTGTATCTTTAAAGGCAAAATTAGACAAGAAATGGACTAATAAGGCTTCAAATGGAAGCACAGTCTGTTCATCTGTTCTCAGATTTTGTCACTGAATTTTCAGGAAGGAACGACGATACAATATAATATTCAAAAACTAATAACGTTTGGAATCTTTGCTCCCGGCTGTGCCCATGGAAAGGGGAAGTCCAGCCCCAACTTGACTAATAATAATCTAGCCTCTAAATGAGGACCAAAAATATTTATAATTATTGCATAGTACTGTTCCTTAAAAAATGCAGCAGGGTTATATCCATCCCATACAGCTGCTTCTCCTGAATTTATTCTTGTGACTGCACCTGAAACAAAACTATTTTGCTTCAAGATGCTTATCTGCAGGAACAGAGGCTAGAGCTATTTTATCCAAGGAATAAGCACAGACTCCACAGTGGAGGTAATGATACTGTTCTGTGCATCTTACCTGGATGAGAAGAGATGCATTTATGACAGAGAGATGGTGAGTATAAATAAAATAAACAGGACTGGTATCATGCTTTCAAGTACATAATCTATGGGTTATTGGTTTAAAGAACCCTTAAGTGAACAGCAGTTTAGGTTGGTACCTGTAAACAAGTACAAAAGAAACATACTCCAGTGCCTCTTGCGCCCTAGAAACTCCCATCTGCTCCTTTGCAGCAACGATCCTTTCTCCGCCTCTGCGACTGCGTGGATAACCCACACACACAGCGGGTTATCTGAGCTCGGACTCCTTTATAGCAGAGCTCGCAGCCCCACGTGAGAGCTGTGCGCCACACACAAACCAAAAAGCGCTTTACTCAAGTAGGGTGTCTGTTCTTAGGGATAACTAACTGCCTTTATGCCTCCAGAAGGGCACGGATAGCTGGCAAGTAAAAGTAGCATGCAGGAATAAAGGCAAGGCAGGTACTATACAGCAGGTAGCTAGTCCTCTCCTGCCATGATGGTATCTTAATTTCTTCAAAATTTTTATTTCTGACATAACTGGAGCTTTAGGTGTAATTCTGGTCCTGAACGTACGCAGGCAGAGAAATTTTACTAGATTTCTACAGATAACAAGCCTTTTTTTTTTTTTTTTTTTTAAATATCACTGGGAAGGGTTTTGGTGTTGGCCTTTAAGAAGAGAGGCTGATGACTCTTCTTTGCCTAACAGTTTGGAGGAAACACTTGTTTTATTTTACTTCATTGAAAGAAGTCTGTTAAACAGTCAGTGCATCAACTGATAGAACGACCTGGTATAAATAGTTAATGCACCTGCTGCTAGTCTACAGGTGATTGAAAATAGTCACTTATACAGTATCTGACCTCCTAATTTAGGTTACATTGAAATCTACATTTCATCAAGATTCAAGTTTCTCAGTAGGACTGTGGTCTACTTATCAGCAGATGGGAATAAATTGCCAAGAACTTTTTTTTTTTTTTTTTTTAAAAAGAAGCAT